TGAGTGTTATTGATCAATTACAATCAGATGGGAAATAAGACGAGTGTTTTTATAGTCATAATAAATAAGTAACTTGTTAGAATGTTGTGATGTACGTGAATTGAATTGAAATAGAATACAATTTGAGATTATTTATTATCCTCCTCTGATTTGACTAACTGACTGGTGGTAATAATATCTTCCATGCATATTTCTGGTATTTGCATTGAGTCATTTCTCTTGCATGTGTTGTGTTGGGTGTAGATTCGAAGAACTAATCAGGATTCAATAATCAGTCTCTCGCTATCTCCACGTACCTACATTACTTCTTAGAATGTTAACCCTCTCTCACCCTATTGTGTGGTTGTGTGCTAATGCATGTAGTACCGACCTTTTCTCTAAATTGCTTATCTTCTCGGGGTCAACCATTCTTACTTCAGCTAAATTCTTATGTTCCGACAATCTGATTACCCCCAACCTACTAGTTTGACCAATGTAGTTGACACAGCTCACAGTCATTGCTGGTTATTTTGTAAATTATATAATTTTGTCTAATTGGGTCCACCGGGTCATTTGGCCTACGAAGCTTGACTCTGAATCAGTTTGTAGGTTTGAATGCCACTCTAATTCCTGCTTTATTAAGAATCCTACTTAGGGTCTCAGATGTCCCATCCCTCCTTGTATGGTATAACAGTACATGAATTATATTCTGTCTTATTTATGTTATCAATACTAGTTTCACAGTTATTTTTGTTTTGCTATAAGCCTTCTCGATCTTCCTAATGAATTTTATAGGATAGTTAGTTATTTAACACCAACGCCTCTTCTATCTGTTTTATTTCATCATTTAGGTTCTTTTTTGTGCTACTTAGTTCTACTGCTCGGTATGTTAAACACTTAACTGAGCTTGCCTTAACAAGCTTAAGTGGCCGTTGAGTGATATCCAATGCTAGGCCATTGTGTAGTACCATAAATGGGAAACGATGAATTGGGCGTTCAAGAGTGACATGAAGGAGATTGCGTGAGGAGGCGATGAAATGTTATGGACAATCATGAAGCCAGTTAAATAGACTGCAGAGAACTGGATGAAGACCTATACTTCACTCGGAACCTAACAGAATGATAGTAAAACTTATAACATTCTGTCTTTTGTAGAAGATGAAAACACATGGGAAATTGCTTTTTGTATACTCACCCGATTTGGTATTATGTGTAAAACGAATAGGGAGTGGCAAAACAAAGAAGATTGCTACGGAATCTCCTGTTGATCTGCTGTTGGACATACTCCTAGATACACAGCAACTCAATTTTGATGCACTTTTAATTAACGGCTCTTATATAAGTTCACTTACAAGTAACTCTAGGATGGTCACAGCTGAGTTGAGGGAACGTCAGTTGACGGAGAAACAGGAGTTAGGAATTCGCAGATGTCCGGCAAGTTATGTAGAAGAGCGTATCAACTGGTTTGCCTCATTCAGACCATAATACTAGGATTTTCGTCAGAACAAGCTTGATGAACAGATAGGTTTCGTAGCTCGATCGATAAAGCGCCAAGCTAACAATTAATGGATCACTAACTAAAATGCTGACACCATTCTAGGTTTCCTTTCCTTATCACCGCTTTGTTGTCAACTTGCTAAACTACAGTTATCCTGAGTCTCTAGTAATTTAAGCTATCGTTTCCAAACATAAAAACGATATTTCACAAGGTTTAAAGGTTCGGCAATGTCGGCTTAGCTTTTTCAAATAGAAATTTGAGGTTTTTAGACATACACATTTTTATGTCATAATAAAAGACTGTTCGAACGACTGGTCTAGAGTAACTTTCACACACACACACACGCGTACAGAGTGATTATGTCAGAGTGACACTAATAGTATTGATTTTACAAGGCATATTCGCGAGTTTCAGCTGTGGTGGAAAATATAGGTTGTCTTATTCGTATTTGTTAAGTAACTAAAAGTGACATTATAAGATTAAAGTTGATGGGACCTAGAATTAAATAACAAGGTATAAATACATTCCTATCGGTTCGTCTTTGACAAAAGCCATAATATCTCTTCGTATTCTTCTCATATGACTATTCTTCTAGGTCACAGTGTCATTTTTCGTCCCCTTATTTTCTCCACTTTTAAATATTAAAACTTATGGACAAATCAGTCAATGCCAAGTCCTAACGTGTCAATGTCTATATATGTAGATGGTACTCACATTATTGGTAATAATAGTAAATCTATTGAAAACTTTATCACCCTATTCAATCATATTCATCCGAATATCCAAGTGACTTCCGAACTCGAATCGAACAGAAAAAATCGGTTTCCTGAATATTACAATGACCAGGGGAAATGATGGAACGATTCAGAGATCTATTTTTCGTAAACAGACATGAAGTGGACAATATCTTCATTTTACCAGTTTTGTCCCTACCCAGTATAAACGTTCCCTAGTGAATTGTTTGTTCTCAAAGGCCCGAAAAATATGCATGAGCGACACATTGATGGATGAGTTTTGACATATACATTAAGTTTTATTAGCTAATGGTTATCCGGAAAACTTTATCACATGTCACAGTAAAGAAAAACCATATCTCGAAAAGACAGCTTCTGTACCAAAGAAAGCTATCTATCTTTATTAACCTACCATTCAAGGGTGACCAGATTATGCAGGTGACAGCTAGCTCAAGGACTTCGGTCAGTCATCAAACGCACATTCTATGCCACCACATCTCTTTTTCTCATTTACCGAACATTTTCGATCCCTGTTCCTACGATTAAAGGATGAAATTCTGTGAACTCTACTTCAAACTGTATCTACAAGTTCACCTGCAGCTGTGGTGACACACCTATATAGGTAGAACCAACAGAATGTTCCGATGTCATGGTCGAAAAGAACATGTTCCAAAATAGCTACTAAATCATATAGAAAATCCCTACGTGACTAATCTGAATAGAAATCTAGCATCATCATCCATTGGAAAACACTTATTAATGTCAGGTGACAAAATCAATATTAATGACGGCTTCACAATTATTTCACATAACTGTAATTCAAGGTTATTGAAGGTGTGTTGGAAGCACTTTGGGGGATTAATCACCCATACCGCCTAAACTGTGTGTACAAAAGAACACAATAGACTTCAATTTTCGCCTACTATGGACTACATGACCTATTTAAATATGATTGGTCATTAGTATGTACTTTTGTTCTTTTTATTTAACTGAGTAATTGTCATGAACTTTATTTTATTATCATTGTTAACCATGTTAGTTGTAAGCGGTTGCAAAGAAACTACGAAATGACGATATCATCTCGCGGCGAAATTTGTCTTCTAAATGCTTTATTCAAATATACAAAATCCATCTGAATCGTCTGAAATCGGTATAGAGATTCATGTCATTGACAGCAAGATAAAAGGTCATGATTCTAATCGACACTGAAGTTAAGTTATCGCGTCTAAATGGTCCACAAATATGGCAAGTGTCTGTTATATCTGAGCCGCTAATTGTAATAACGGTAAATATCAAAGGACAAAGGCTGATCTGTGACTGCAAGCTGCTGTACTGTACATTTATTAGGAAAACGACACATGGTAATTCATACGTTTTTAACACAATAAAGTCGGCTCACAGCCATGAGAAATGATTAATCACACAATGGATCACAATATGTGTGAGAAAGGATGATATACTATTTTATGCGAGATCCTATCACCTCTCCCCTTAAAATGTGTAGGACTGTCTTTGAATCTGTTTGGAGGAGTTTTGATTTTTCGACTAAAACAACTCATGCTGAAGATTACTTATTTGAGGCAGAAGCACTGGGTACGTTGTGATTAGGCAGCAGAAAACTATCTAAAATTTCCCTCATTCTTCCCTCCCACTTCACTCTTATGAAAACAAGCTTAGCGGCATCGAGGAAGAGTTCATCTTGTCCATAAGATTGGAGCTGATACTGAGTTGACGTTTAAAATGGAGAACTAGCTTAACATTCGACTTCTGAGTCAAAGATGCTTGCCACAACCAAGATTTTCCTGGACGACTGGAATATGCTTTTGACACGAGTGTCGCAACACAGATGTACGTGGAGCATAACTCGAAATGAAATCATCTGATGAAGACAACGCGTTAGAATACACCGAATTTAATGGACCGTTTATGAAATTCAGCTTTTCTAACCAGCCATGACTGAATAAATTCAAATCGTGGTAGTTTCTGAGATAACATACACCGTGAAATCGATGGATTAATTAAGTAACTCCATTACAAGATTCGCCCTCACCAACATTTGTCCTCTTTACTCGACAGTGAACATCATCTGGCTCGCTAAAAACGACAAACTACAAGGAATTCTTATTTGTTGTTGGATTAATTTTCAGTCCCAGTTGATTAACTGAGCTGGATCAAACTGCTCGATCTCAGTCGCCAAGTCGCCTTCTAGGATAGGCGCTTCGACAATGTCTTAGGATTACCGTGAAGTTATTTCGATCGATAGTGACTAACAATGCCATCTAGAATGCTTGCCCCGTTGAGATTGAGACTCGAACCCTGAACCCATCGTTTTAAACATCAAAGTATTATTCACTGGCCCACAGTGAGAACACTATAACGCACTGCGTTTAGTGCAGGTACATCGAACTGTAGAGTGCCAAATAAGTCGAAATGCACACCCTGGATTCCACTGCTAGTCACCATCATTAAAAATAACTTCAAGGAACTCTAAGAGCGAATCCCTCAACAATCTATTGCACCAATCAAACGGGCTAAAGGAAAAGAAAACAGATTGGACAAGCACACATACACGCCAGACAGCCTTTTCGAGTGGAGGCCAACTTAGAAGCAATGAGCTGGATGTCGATAAAAATGGGAGCTTATAAACAACCGTGGAATCAGTCGAATAAAAGGACAGTGTTCCGAGTACCATGTGTCCCTGAGGTCATATATATATGTATATAGCATTCGGAGGACTCTTAATTCACTCCTTCAAAAGCCTCTGAACAAAATCAAACAATGCCTTATAAGGTAATTAAAATTATATATATTGTATTCAGAAATCAATTAAAATTCCATTCATAATTATGGGGTTTCTGTTGTTTTAGCACACACATACACATATATGCGGCGATAAAATCAACCAAAGCGATTAAACAACTAATAAATGAGAATGAGGGTTTTGATGTAAAGGTAGGCTGGAAACAAAACATTAAGGAGTAGGCAGATAAAAAACAAGAAAAAAAGAATTATTAGCGAACATGAGGGTGCTGGGGGGTAGAGATTAGGGAGATTAGGAGCAGGTGACGAAGAAAGATGAGTTGACAATAACGACAACAATAGCAACAAGCACAATTTAGCGTGAATAAAATGCGCTCAGCTCTTTAGAAAGAAACAAAAAGCGTATTCGTGAGTATTTACTCAGGTTATTGGCGGTGTGGAGTGAATGGTTGGATGGGGTCAGGAGTCGACTAAAGATGATTCGTTTTAGCAGTTAACAGACAAATATATATAGGCCAAAGAAAAACTAGTTGAGAGAGAAACAAAAATGGTAATTCTTTGTTAAATCATACTTATTCCAAGAGAAGTACAATATTATTCAATATAAAAGCGGCTCAAGTGTTTGAATTTTGGAAAGAACATAAATCATGCATGGTGAATATATATATATATATATATATATATATATATTCATAGTAATTGAAACTAAAAATATTGACGAAAATCGAAATAATAATAATAAAAGCAGGAATATTCATATGCTCATTAACGGGTAACTGAATACTTCGTGTCGCTTAAAAAGTAGATTTAAGTAGTATAATTCAATAAATATATAATGATTAAGCAAGATTCCGAAAGAGAGAGAGAAAGAAAGAGAACTCACTTTGCAGAAAGAACTCTAGAAAAGCCTAAAGTTAAAATATATTACGAGGATAAGCAAAGCACCTGATAAATTTCGACTCAAAGTCATTCATTTGGACTGCTCAGGTATTGAAACCTTCTCCGATGGCAGTAATAATAATAATCATAGCATCAGTAGTATTAGAATATACCATCAATAATTATTACATTACTGAGAAAATATCTAAGGAAATTAATTAATTTAACGTGTTTTTCATATACTGTTTATATTAATAATAGTAGTAGTAGTGGTAGTGCTCACTCGTGAAGCATAACAATGTTCGCGTGTGTGTTTTTGTGTGAAACAGACAGTCATGGTTATGTCTAATGGTTTACTTCACCACTCAACATGTTGTTGTTTTTTCAAGTATTCGACTATTACTACTATATATCAATAGTAAGTAGACTGTTGATGTGTATGTATATTTTTTTTTTGTTTTTTAAATAACATTCACAGTGAATGGACTTCCAGGGACATGTTGATCACCCCATTTAATCATAATTTGATGACGACCACGATCACGTACAGTATAATTAATCGCATATTGACCATGTCCCAAGTGTTTTATATTCACTTCTTCACAGGCAGCAACTGGTCCAGAAACACCAACGTAGAGAACATCATGACCTAGAGAAAACAGGGAAAAGAAATAAAAAGGCATGAGTGATGAAGGTATGTATTTAGGCTTTATTTATTCTGATGACTGTTTAAGATTTAACGGTCGACTGATGTATATTGCTTCGGTGGAAATAGGAGTGTTCTCTGAGCTGGTTGTTTTATTTGCGGAGATTTCGTCGTCCCTCTGCTAGACAACATCCTCCTTCAGCCCAATATTTAGCATAAAGTGAAATGATTTAAATTTCTTCATGAATGATATAATTGCGTCTCCCCCGTAACCATCTTTACATATGTGTATTAGTCATTTTCTATTGACTTGGATTTTAAACTTTCTCGTCACATGATTTACTTTTTATTAATTGCTGGTATATTTCGTCTATATATTAACGTGTTTGTTAATTGTATATTCGTTTGAGTACCAGGCTTCTAGGAATTCTCTGACTGCACTTTTAGTGTTTCCTGTCTGTCTAAAATTTCGACATTGTCACAATCAAATTTATGTCCATAATTATCTGTATGCATTTATATAAAAGAGTAATATATATCGTGTCTTTTTCACGGCTGATTTGTGTTCCTGGATTGTGATTCGAAGGGGACGCCCACTTTGTTGACCGATGTAATGCCTGTTACAGCTCATACAAATTATTTTGTAAATGGTATTAATTTTATCTCCTTTTTCTGTTGGATCTTTCGGTTTGCATAATATCTAATTAAGCAATTTGACTGGCTTGTGTGCTAAATCTATATCTAACGGTTTCAGCATTCTAGCTGTTATTTCAGAGATATTTCTTATTTATGGTAAGATGAATTTTCTTGTGTTCTTTGATGATGGCTCCTTGTTGGTGCTGTGATTCGATTTTAAACACTTTTTGATGAAATTTTGTGAATAACTATTTTTTTTTGAAAACCTTTTGTAGGTAATTTTCTTCCATTCTTTTCAACTCTGGAGTGCGACACTGTGTTCGAACTCTTTTAAACAATATCTGCACACAGTTTCGTTTGTGAGTGAGTAATTGGATTATTGCTAGTATAGTTGAGTATTTGATCTGTGTGCATTGATTTTCTATATACTTGTGTTTCTAAATTTTCTGTGTTGGTTCTCCTAAGTTTGATTGTGATAATGTCGAAATTTTAGACAGACAGCAAAACACCAAAAGTGCAGTCAGGGAATTCCTAGAAGCCTGGTACTCAAACGAATATGCAATTAACAAACACGTTAATATATAGACGAAATATACCAGCAATTAATAAAAAGTAAATCACGTGACGAGAAAGTTTAAAATCCAAGTCAATAGAAAATGACTAATACACATAAGTAAAGATGGTTACGGGGGAGATGCAATTCTATCACTCATGAAGAAATTTAAATCATTTCACTTTATGCTAAATATTGGGCTGAAGGAGGATGTTGTCCAGCAGAGGGACGACGAAATCTCCGCAAGTAAAACAAACAGCTCAGAGAACACTACTAATTGCAAATCATCCATCTGAGGTACAAATATCCTTTACTAGTGCTCCAATGGTCCAGTGGAAGAATGCTCTCCAACAGTTAGCTAACTACGCCTGTGGGAAGTTCGGTTTTCTTCTAGGCCAATGACATACTCCTAAACCTCACTCATTAGTACTGCCGCTCACTGAACCATATGAACCAGCCTAAGGCTTCCTCATGATTGTCTTCTATGATCTAACATCATTTCAAAATGGAATACGATGGTGAGTCACACAGTTTTGTGAGAACTTGACTGACAAGACAATAATGAAAGAAGAAGAAGAAGAACATTCAGCAACGCTAAGAATAGTGTTCTCCAGTCGCTCACTGATCTGCAGAAGCGTTAAGGCCAATATCCCTTATCTTACCATTTCTGTGTGGATATATCATATCACCTACTGCCGTGAAGTCAGGTACATCGGTCGTTCGACGCGCACCTTGTCTAGGAGGATTCAAGAACTCTGCTCGAGCATGATTGCGAAAAGGTAATAATGGTGCTATAAGGAGTGCGATAATTAAACCCCACCTGGTTAATACTGATCATACCATCTCAACAAACGCCTCCTGCTTCAAAGTAATCTACGGAGTCATAAAATAACCTACAAAAGGCAATACAATTTCGTCTTCTTTGTATCGCTGAAGGTCTGGCCATTCACATAGAAAACCCGGAGCTGTGCATACAAAATAGAGAATTACTCAACCACTTCTACTTTCATGGTAACAACTTTGTTAATTTTGATGACTTAATTTTGTTTCTTTGCCTGTTTCTTTAATTGCTCACAATTCTCATATTCATTTAGAACTCTTACGTAATTTCGTATTCTCTACTTTGTTCTTGTCTGCATCCTGAGTAAAACTCACTCATCAAACTCACTTATCACACAACTTCTTTTTAACAAGTGTTTGTGACAACTCTCACCTTTGTTACTACCTTAATTTCATTAACACCTAATTTTCTCGACTGGTTTTGTATTACGTAACTCCAATTACCAATCTTCACCTGTTCAGTTAAAATAACCATAACCAATTGTAATTTTGTTTGACAAACTTAATGTACACATAAATACAAAATAACACATATATATTTGCCACTGTACAGCTAAGGAAATGAATCTGCAGCAAAGAGACTCTTCGTTGAACACTATGTGTTTTGTTTTCATTAATACCTGGATGGAGATTATCCAGGAATTAAAACGTGACAAGACAATGTCAGCATACATGACCACTCCATTAGAGTTCTACACTAGCTGAGTCGTAAGTCCGAAAGCCTTAGTGATAGTGACTTTAACTAGAGCTCTGGGTGATACAGTTTCCAACGGAACATCATACCCTTCAAGTTACACAAGATGAGTATTGTTGACGAGTGCCAATTTGTGCGAAACTGTATCGAAGCACTTCATCCTATTGATTACCTCTACACTCCTAAAGTCGACTATTAGGTGATTCGTTTTAACATGCTGTTCAACTTACAGACATCAAAGCAGCAGTCTACAAGCAAAATTAAGTATTACATCACTGGTGTCTTTCAGCAGACATTAATCAGTGTAACTAATATCCTGACATTTTATGAAGTTTCCTTCTACAATGTTGTCCTGAGTAGCAACTACAAGTTTGACTAAGTATACATAGCATAGTAGAGCAAAAATATTCATTCAGACATCTATGAAACATAAAATCATTGAGCAAGGAATATCCTTTTCGGTAAATTCCCCCTCTTCTGGCTCTACAATTATATATATGTATATATACATAGAATATTCTAGAATAGTAGTCAATAACAGGATTAGCTTTGTTTTTCAAATAATATCAATTTGCAAAGTAAGATCACAATACAATTACAGTTCACTAAAGATGCTTAAATTATAAAATAATAAAATTATAATAGTGAATAGAACGTCAAATAAAATTTAGGAAATTTCTAGAAAAATTGAGGATCATTCAAACCTAGATGGCCAAGGTAAAGACAGTGTCTAAACTGGCTTCTTTTGGACACACAAATTAGGCTTCTTAATGTGTATCCCAATGGCCAAACTCAGCAATATTTAGTAAACGAACTCTTAAGGTGAAGTTAAGATTTGTTGGTATGCGGCAAACGACTTTGAAAGCCACATCGTTGGCATCAATCTTGTATTCTGCTTGTATCCACAAGATGAGATAGAATAGCGCTACGCATAGATTTTGCCTGTCCTTTACATAACGACTATGCAGGTTGATGTTAGGAAATTCGATGAGAAACACGCCTAATTGTACGGCCAATGTAACTGGCTCACTGCACAGGAGCAGTTAAATTGGTGGATACACATGGAAGAGGCGAAATTAGTCATTTTATCTTTTATTCCAGAATGCAAAATATTCGTGGTTTTGAAGACACAGTGCAATTCAGCAGCAAGAAATGCTCTTTTTACCGCATTTCTAAGGCGTTGTGTTAGTATCTCACTGATGTTGTCCCCGAAGAACTGAATTTATAAGAATAAGGCCTTTTTAGGAACTGTTGCCACTTTGGGTTGTTTTGATTTTAGATTCATATTCTTATCAATACACTTTTCTGGATAACCATTCTCACTTAGCAACTGTTTAATATTATTAAGTTCCTTGTCAAGGCATTCATTCGGGCAGATTGCTCTTGCTCTGTGAACAAAGTGCTCTATCAGATTGCGCTTGTATTTCAAGGGCACGAAGCTGAGAAAATGAGTATACTGACCAGTTAGTTTATGAAGGTTTTCTATATACACTTCTTCTTATTGTTCCATCCTATTTTCTTGTCATAAGGACGTCTAAAAATGAAGTACTGGAGTCCTTTTCTTCAATAGTAAAATTCATTTATCTTACTTTGCAAATTGACATCATTTAAAAAACACTAATATTGTTATTGGGGGTACCTAGCCTGTCATATGCTCTGATGGTGTTCTCTTGACTTTTGTTGCCAGATCTGCCAAGGGCGATGGGATAGTACGCGACCTAATGGTTGTGTGCAAGGTTTGAAGAAGGCTGTGTGCTATATGCATGCGCCTCGCCCTGATAATGTTAGTGCGTCGGTGGCATAGCGGTTAGGACGCTCGCCAACCATGCACATGGTCCGGGGTTCGATTCCCAGCCGACGCACTCCTTTACCTCGCTCAGCCAGAAATACTGCTGGTAAAGAGGAAAGGTTGGGCATGAGGCTAGCAACCCCTATCCTGTAAAAGTAATCACCCTTGCTACAGAAATTTCAAGCCACTAGCTTGAAGCCCTATGTTCCACTGAGGAAAGTGAAGGAAAAAAATATTGTTATTGACTGCTAGTCTAGAATATTCTGCATATATAAACATATATGCATATAATTGTAGAGCCAGAAGAGGAGGAATTTACCGAAAAGGATATTCTTTGCTCAATGATTTTATGTTTCATAGATGTCTGAATGAATAGTTTTGCTCTACTATTTTATGTATACTTGGTCAAACTTGAAGTTGCTACTCAGGACAACATTGTAGAAGGAAACTTCATAAAATGTCAGGATGTTAGTTACACTGATTAATGTCTGCTGAGAGACACCAGTGATGTAATACTTAATTTTGCTTGTAGACTGCTGCTTTGACGTCTGTAAGTTGAACAGCATGTTAAAACGAATCACCTAATAGTCGACTTTAGGAGTGTAGAGGTAATCAATAGGAAGAAGTGCCTGAATTTAGTTTCTTGTCAAGTGACACCAAATGCCAGGTTGACCATCGAGTGCAATCTGAATGGGGAACGACGAGTTAGGCATCCGAAAGTGACTTGGAAGAAACTGTATGAGACGGGAATGTAAGCTTGCTAGTAATCGAGGAGCCAGCAATAGGAAAGACTGCTGAGAATAGAGTGAAGTCGTGATATGCCGATGAATTCCTTTGCTCCATTTCTGAACTCAAGGGACAAACAACAATAACAGTAATAATAATAATAATCAATATAGTAATTCGTAAAATATACCATTCACTCATCAACTACCTGCTTGTGTTGCATTCACTGTAAATGTGTTAACTTCATTTAAATACGCCTGTTGTAAACCTGGTCCAGAGCATGTAACACGATCAGGTCTTGATGGGCCAATATTAGAATGTGGTCCATTGACAAGACGTCCACCGGTTTCTACAACAACATGTGTTGTATCAGCAGTGAAAGTATCATGTACTGCATCACCAGTAACAATTGCCTAAAAACAATTCGATAAAAGGAAAGTGTTTTTTTAAAAATACTTCTAATTTTATATAATTTTCGATTGATATTAGTGCATAACCTTAAAATAGCTTTGCTGTCTTCACACATTCACAGCACTATTCAACATAATCCATTTTTTGTAAGGGATGAAGTGTCATTGGTTGTCAGATGTTTACACTGCTTGCCATTGGTGATTGATGTTGTGATGATTGGTGATTAGAGTAGGTCTCGTTAGTCCACAAGTTTCATATCGCCTGCAATCTGATAGGTCGTATTGTAGCAACAGAAGACATGGTCCAGGCAACAGATCGTTTATTTACGAAATCAACACATATTTATAGATTTTCATGTACATTATTATAGATTATTGTTAGCAGAAAAACACAGTCTTCTGATTGGTTGTTTCTCGCTGAAAGTTAATCTTACATCTCTTTGTGGCTGTTTCTTGAATGTGTCAGATCATCTATATGCTAACTGTATCCGCCTACTCAAAGTCTTTGTTCCACTTTTTTTCACGGCCAGTATTCGGGAGATAAATATTGACGTGAATTAATGTCTACCAATTTTGGCTAGCAGCCAGCTCTCACCATAGTATTACTGATCATATCAAATAATAAAACAGTGAAATGTAATACCTTTTTCTGTGTATGATGCTATATACTACTGACTAATTGATATGAATAGTTCCACACCACTCACCTTGACCATTTTTGCTTACCAGCAAGTCAAACTGAAGTGACGCGAATATCAGACAGTTGTTTCGCTCTTATGGTGGCGAAGTAGCCAGCCAGAATCCCAGCGGTATTATCTAATTCAGCTATCTCAGTTGAATCAAAAAGGGTACATCAAACGAGCGAAACTACAGTCTTGTATTCAGGTTACTTCGATCTGGCTAGCAAGTAATACTGATAGAGGTGTTAATGGGATATAACCACTCAAAGCAGTTAATCATTAATAATCATTTTATTCAACTTGGCATTCCGAGAAGAGCACAGAGCTTCAAGCTTTGAAGTTGCCTTAGGGATGGTGTTGTTTTTAAGAGGTGGTGAAGTTTTCGACACCACGACTAAACTTTCATTTTTTGGCGGATATACTACCGGCTGGTAAGCTTGGCAGCTTTAGGAGTAAGTCAGCCAGGAATTCAATGCACGCTGACCTCCAGTGTGCGTGGCTGACAAGAATTCTAGCATTAGTCTATCGAAACACTAATCAGTAATATACAGTGTGTTGTATCACCTTTGCGTTTAGCACACATAAAAGCTAATGCAATTAAAAGACTTCAGCCCAACATATGCATACAGAAAGAGAGTGTGACTAATCTCTTACTAGCCTAGTAACTGTAATTGTTTTATTCTATTACGTAACATTACACTGAATCTTGATTTGATTTTCAGTCAGTGAGTTGAACTCACTATTAAGGTACGAAATCTACTCAATTAGATTATTTTATCTATTTTATAGTTTTACTTTACTATTCACCCCTATCCTCCTGAACTCTTCACCACAATGTGTATAAATCCACTCGGTTGTTCTATCTTGTATTTTGTCTCTAGTCCATCCTTGTTTCCATGCGAAATCAGAACTCTACTCCTTTGTCTAATTACTATATAAATAGTTACTCTTTTAACACTAAGTAATTGTCTACCTACATCATCTTTAAAAGTGCGTTGCTTATACTTTCCATCTATAACTTGAAATCATTGTAAAAAGTATGTTAAGAAGACATTTTGTGACTTATAATTGATTTATTTGGGATGTGCGCAGTTGAAGAGACAGAATCCACGAAATAAAACGAGCTCGTATTATCCTACAAACATGTCTTTTGTTTCTCTATTCAAATTAATCAAGGCGACCGGCTGTATAATTTTTTATTATTTTTGATTACAGCTTGATTCCACACCGTATTTTTGGTACAGGTATGGAATTTTCAGCATGTGATATCAGTAGTCCAAATTTAGCAGACCGGCCAATTGATATCAGGTGTGCGTCAGCAGGAGATCGAACCCCGGACCATGTGTATGATCGGTGAGAATCTTAACTGCTGCACTGATAAGATAAATATGGAAGTTTTCTATAAAGAATAAAGTCTCCCATCTTCATCAAGTAGTAACATGTTACATTATCAGGGTAAAGTGGTAAACAGGTCGAAGAAAAATTTTAATTGTGCTGATGTTTTATGCTGTTACAGCAGTGTACAACCCACAGTCTTATCAGAGAGTAAGCTAAGGATCGACAAGTCAAGTGGCGATGTATTTATGCTCCAGTCATTGATGAGTTTGAATCCAATCACCTATGAATCTTAATTCTTGTAAAGCTGGAGAAATGATACAGCTGAAATATTGAATTATAAACATGTTTCGAAATCTCTGGTGTTTTCGTCAATGGTTTCCTTTAATCACTGACGATTCATGAAGGTCGATAATTATTGAAAGAAGCACATTTAATGTTAATACAGTTTAAATAAGAACTTACTTTAAATGGTGAACCAATAATATGCTGAGCATCACCATATTTAATACTAATCATATATTCACCAGGTGATAATGGCATATAAGTGAAATCATAACCATCAGGACGTTCGGTACAATTCAACTGAACTTTACTTGGCCCATCAACAGTAACTGATAATGCACCACTACCAGCATGTGCTGTATTCACAAAGAATCGATTACGTTCGCCTATATAGAAAATAAGAAGCGTGTATATGAACAAAATTAAAAGTGGGATATTCATTATGTAATGATTCAGTTTGAATCTAATCTGTAATAATTAGATAAAACGAAAGCAATGCGTACTTTGGAAGGAATAAAAGACTCTGGGATATCTGGACTTCGCTGATGATTTTTCGCCTAATATCAAACTCGAAGATCTAGTAGTGTAAACCAACAAATTGGTGCAGGAGTCAGTTGAGATAAGACTTCACATGAAATTTGAGATTATAGCGGTGTTAATGAAAACAAAACACGTAGATCAGCGAAAAGTCTCTTTTCGGCGAAGGACCCTTGACAGTCAAGGAACTCAGTGGGTTTCTACGGTATTCTATCAAGCTTGCTGTGGGGAAAGCAAAAGTTGTTTTTTTTTTTGAGGGTTGTGTCACTAATCATCAGTATCCAAAGTGGTTCTGGAAAGCACTTCGACACAATCATGTATATCCAAATAAGAAGTCTCTTCGACGACACGCAATGAATTGTGCTGATTCTGTCAGATCACGTATGCCCGAACTGCAGCGGAATATTAATCAGAGGTTCTATACCGCATACGAAAGGAGACTCTTCGTTAATCTACGTGTTTTTTTTCATTAATGCCTGGATGGGGATTATCCATGAATGATAAGGGTGATCAAGATAACCAACCAGCGACAAAAAACACCAGTTCCCATCAATGGCTGGAAACTAAAGGCAGATTTGTCTTACGCTTACCTTATCTAGGAAATATCGTCTCAAACTCAGGAGGCATGGAAGACGACATTGAAGCCAGCTGAGGTCAGAAAATCAGGAGAGATCTTCATCAATATAAATCAGTGTGTGCGTCCGTGGGACAGCAGTTAGGACTCTCGCCGACCATGCACATGGTCCACGGTTCGATCATCAGCCGACGCTATCCTTTACTTCACTTATCCAGTAATAAAACTGGTAAGGAGGGAAGGTTGGGCATGGGGCTAGCAACCTCATCCTGTAAAAATAAACACTCCTACAGAAACTTCAAGCCTCCAGCTTGAAGTGGCCCTATGTTCCACTGGGAACGTGAAGGAAATAAAATAAAAATGAAAAAGTGTGGAAATCTATCACTCCAAGATGTGGAACAAAATCCTGACCTTCAACACTAATTTCACGTCGGTGATTCCATATGTGGTTCACAGGCTTGATGCGTCACGGAAATCATTTTAAACAGGCTCTAGACCTTCACTAACAGCTGCTTTTGCTTCCTACTGAGAAGACATTTGAGCAACATCACGTCGTAAGCAATAAGCTGGCAGAAGAAGCATTAAAGATAGGACTACAGGTGCACATAGAGAAAACAGAGGTAAGTGATGAAGATTTCTGGCCAACAGCAGCAGCAACAACAACAGACAACAATCAGCATAAATGGGAGGAGTCTGAAAGAAACAACCTCCTTCACCTGCCTAACTGGGAAGCACTGTTTCAACTACAGGAGGACAGGACTGACGAGGATATCAAAGCCAGAATCGGAAAAGCAAGACAAGCTTTCATTACTCTTAAGTCTGTGTGGAGGTCAACAGCAATCAGCATCAAAAATAACATCCGGATTTTCAACTTCAATGTGAAGTCAGACAGTGCTACTATAAGGATCAGAGACTTTCACTGCGCGTCATAAGAGCATCTCAAACAAACTTCAGACCTTCATAAACGGTTGTCTTTGCTCAACACTCACGATCAGATGGCCAGAAAAGATCAGCAACAGGGATCTCTGGTAATGAGCGAACCAACTAGGAACCGATTGTGAAACAAATAGGCAGGAAGAAATGGAGATGGATAGGCCATACTCTGAGGAAACCATCAAGTGACATCACTAGACAAGCCCTCGAGTGGGACCCGAAAAATAAGTGGCAAGTTGGTCTTCAGTGCTAGGGTGATATGAAGGAGGTCATGTGAAGAGGAGATGAAATCATGTGGGATATACGTGAAGCAGGGTGAAAACTTTAGCAGAGAAGCGAACGCAACGGAGACGTTTGTCTGAAGCCCTATTTTCCTCTAGGAATTAAAGGATACAATAATAATAATAATAACGTCGTAAGTAAGCACTTGAGTGGGACTTCAACGGGGAACGATGGGATGGATGTCAGTTCACAGGCGTTATGGGGGAGATTATATGTAGCAGAAACAGAAGATTGTCTTTAGTTGTTGAAAAACAATTTGAAAAGAGCACGAACAGCAGGGAGGTGTCAGTGTGCTCGTGGAGTCCTATGTTCTACGATCAGTGAGTAGCTTTTTTCACACCTGAATTGATTGACCTCAACAGTTGTGAATTCTAAATAACAGAACTTCAAAAGTAATAACACGCTCTCCCTTTCAATGCCATCTCACAGTATTTAGTTCGAACACGGTGAAAGTTGTCAGTGCTTAACAAAATAAAGTCACAAACTAAGGTGAAAGAGTATCTACAGACCTCTGGTGAACAATAATTTTAAATGGAGACCATTTTATAGTTAAATGAGAAACCTTAAAGTTTGTTTACAAGTAAGCAGACCATGAAACTTGATCCGCAAACAGATAAACAGTGAATAATCCTTTATTGGTGATATGGTAATCGATAGGCAGCCTGGAAATTGACCAATCAAATTTTGGCCCACGTAAAATAACGCCCAATATTTTATTGATCATGATTACAGACTGACTGTCATATCCTTGGTGATATTTTGAACCATACATTATAATTGCATTCTTGTTTAAGTTGTGAGGGCTGGTGGAGACTAGTAACTGTCGTATAATGCTGTTGGCGTAGTCCAGTTGGCGGTATTCGTGATTGATGTGTCTAAATCCAGCATCCGTGTCTCTATTTTATTCTGTCTCAATCTCAGGGCTATTGAGCGATCAAGTTGCTTGTTCATAAAAGAAATGATGAAATGTTTGTCGGACAAATATTATTTATTTTCTCACTCTATATCTGTTAGTCTGTTATTCTAAGTAATTGAAATATATCAACCGCATATATGAGTGTTATTGTAATGATAACAAATACCTGTCTTTCTTAAACTGTGAGCATCTGAAGAGAACTTTATTGTAAGTAAAATATTTTGGGATTATTTCACACCCTCGTGTCTAATTTACATTAAAAAACTAAACTACTTTGCAATATTTAAGTAGTTTGCATTGCTGTGTAAAATATTATGATGTTTCTAAGATTGACATGGAGGTCATTAGAAGACGTTAGCTATAGGCACTTGTACTCTGAGGATATAATAGTGTTCCCACTGGAATTAAAACCAAGTGAATATCACTGAATGTATTATATAACCATAAATTCATATCCTGCAAAAATCCTTCTAATATGTGGAAACTATTTAAGGAAATCACTGGTGGTAAGCAGATAAACAATATTCCATATTCTTTTGATGTATGTACTCTTAATAAATCTTTCATTTACTCTCCCTCAAATGCCATGCTTCCCAGCATCCATTGTGTTAATAATGGCCCATTTTCAGGTTTTAACACAAATGATGTTCAAGTTTTACTTTTATTATTTCCATTATATTTATGGTCCTGTTACTTCTTTGTTTTACTCTCATAATTGCAAACACCAACTTATCTCCATGACGGCTGTAATCTTTGTTTTTCCCTTCACTAAATCATGTGAAGAGAACATTATATTCAATGTTTTTTTAAACATGCTAGGATTACTATACCACATTGCCAATACTGTGTGAAAGAAGCCCACGGAAATTTTCACTTGTATTATTATTATTACCCTAGCTGTTATCATTATTATTGCTATTTCCATTTTATATGCTACATGTTTTTGACACTACCTCTATTGTAAATGTGGAAAATTTTCTGTGTGATTAATTTTTATTTATAATTTGAGGAAATTAGATGCAATATTGTGATTAATGCTGAAAATTCCATTCTGTATCACAAGTACTGATTTTGGAATAAAGTAAATCATTATTATTATTAAAACATCACAAAAGTATCAGGAAGGCCAGGAGGTCGCCAGATCCACCTTTTGTGTAGTCGGTTTCAGCTATCATTTGTTAGAATTAATTTTGTATCTCCTTTACGTTCTCAGTGGAACATAGGGCTTCTAGCTACAGGCAGTGGTGTTTATTTTTACGGGATGAGGATGCTAAACTCATGCCCAAATCTTCCCTCTTCGCTCGTCTTATTATTGGCTCAGTGAGGTAAAGAAGTGTGTCAGTGGCCGGGAATGAATCCCCGGACCATATGAGGCGTGGTTGTCGAGCGTTATACTTCTGTTCCAACGACGCACATCAAGGTAATTTAGGCCAACTAAAAATGGGGAAGATATGTTTGCGTGTATCTACAAGGAAAGAATGTTTCTTATTTGTGTTATTTGTGCAAAACGGTCAACACAAAGTAAATAAAGTAGATTTTTGTGTGCAAAAATTTTGTAGTCAAATGAAGGTTGAGGTTTTTGAGTGCTGAATTCATCAAATAAACCGCAAATACTACCAAAATAATGAATGATAATGCCAAAAAAATATTGAGTCTTATTTGAAAATCAACTTACCAACTCGCCCATAGCTTAAACCTTCACCACTAGCTGTCACTGGACCTGTTTCATCTTGTCCTACTAGAACACGGAACGGGCTGCCAGGTATTGGACGTTCATCCATCAGCACATGAACTAAGTGTGCACCAGTCTCTTGAGGTGTAAAGCGTACAGCGTGTTGATCAACATCAACTTGGTGAACAAATGCATCTGTTTGTAAACCAGATGGTGCGACAACATAGGCTCTCATTCTACCTCCCATTCCTGAATAGTTGATTGTGAATGCTGTTGGACGTCCGATCTGGAAGAGAGCGAGAGAGAGAGATAAAGAAAGAAGAATTAAGATTTCGAAACACCCTAATGTGTAATGGCTCCGTTCGAATGTCATAATGATCCAAAGTATTTAACTGCTTGGTAAGATTGTCCCTTAAATTCGTATCATGCAAGAGAGGTGAGAAATTTCGCCATCTACATGGTCTGGGTTCGATTCCTCGCGACTAAAGCACTCCTACACCACGCCTAGTTTGTTTACTAGCCAGTAATAACCCTAATAAAGACGGAGGAGGGCAACCTTGTCTCATTAAAAGAACATCACGGCTACTGATAGTTAAAAGCGTGAATCTTGCAGGCATATGTTCCACTAGGAGTGCAATTAATGATATTCTCCACGTGTTCTCGTCGGTGAAAACGGCTTCTATACTTCTTCAAGAAGTATTATGGCAAACCTGACTGATAGAATTCAGTCTGCACCAAAGAAAGGACTAGACACGTCACACTAGTTACTAGTGTCCAACCAAACTACCCACTACAGCTCAGTGGTAACGTCTCTGACTGCAGCACTGGGTGATGCGGGTTCGAATTTCAAAATGGACATGAGTTCCTTTGAGGTTGCAGATACGCCTTGCTGACTGACTGGTGAGTGCCAACTAGCACGAAACCCAGGTCAAGCAAGGCAATTAATATTACCCTCTGTATCGGTTATTTCACTCGATATATCTTACAATGAGATGAGGAATCGATTGGAGTATATTCTTTATAACCGTAATCACATCATGTATCATATAATATATGATGGAACTGTTGTCTTGTAACAACACTGGTGACAGACTGTGGCATATATATATATATATATATATAATATATATATATATTATATATATATATATATATATATATATATATATATATATATATATATAATTGAAACACAGTACAAAATTTTCCTAATCTTGTAGTGGCAAGTCCGTTAACAATAATTGGTAAATATAAGCATGTGAACCGTGGTCATAATTAACCAAGATAATTAATACAACAACTAAAGGGTGGAAACAGTTTCAAAAATTAAACCCGTGGGTTACATAATACATAATTTTGGAATAGCAAACAACAACTCCTGCCCTATGAGCTATAAGCGGGGATTAGTAAGGACACTTTTTACGACAGGGCCAGGAAGTTATGTTCGCCTAACAAGGGTAGAAGAAGAATTAAGCTTTGTTGAAAAATGCCTTAAGGAAAACAGGTATCCATAAGGATTTACTCTAAAGTACAGCAAAGAAAAACATGAGAAAGAGAAGTATCCAACAGTTGAAAAGAAGAAAGTGCCCCCCCCCCATACAAAGGAGAAACAGTATCGCAAAAGATTGAAAAGAGGATGAAAGGAGCAATAAATAGATGTTTCCCTGCAGCTAATCTGGCGACATTATACAGTACTACATGCTCTATAAGCCAATCGAAACTGGATAAGTACCCTGCTTATGTTACCTCCAACTGCATTTATAAATTTACGTGCACCTCCGACAGAGAGAAGGGCTTCTATCCGGTTTTCAGAGAATATTCCGAGAAAATTATGCTTACTAAGTCCAATTGCTAGAAGACACCTTGTGGATATGGACCATTTTGTTGAGATTTCCAAATCCTTCAAAAATATTAAACATACAAAGGACAGCGAATCTACTACGATTTACTGCTGAAGCAATTACAGCAATCAAACGTCTCAGACCAAACTTATGCACACAGAAAGAGAGTGTAGTCAAAGTCTAACTCCCTTGGTAACCCATATCTCCTTCATTATAGTGATTAGTCATACACACTAGTGGGCTCAGCTCACTAAACAAGTTTTCAAATTGATGAACTTTGACCTTCTTGAGTTGCCATGTTGACACTGTTTATTAGATTTTTCTGTTTTCTGTCTTCTCTCACCCCACTTTCTTATATTTCTTCACAGTCTGATAGTATATAAATTGATGGTAACTCAAACTATAAACTGTAATGCTTATATTCCGGATGCGTTCACCTTATAATGTTTTCTCTATTACCTTTCAAACAATGAGGTATGAAGTGTTGTCATTAATAACCATTGTAATTTTATGTTGTTTGCATTTAGCTGATGAGAACCTGTGAAATAGAATGACGATATCATATTATACCGCAAATCTGGTCTTTCTTTCTCTAGCGAAATTTATCAAGGGAATCACATGTATGGAATTAGAGAACCACTGAATGCCAGACATCTCTTTCATTCCAGTTTTTGGGATCATCGTCAGTATGCATCCATCAACAGGAGGTTCAAACCCAGGACCTTCCGGTTACAGGTCAAGTTGGATCGTATAACATTCAGCCACCGGGGCTCGAATCAATGGCCAGTCCATTAATTCTAACTTCTACCAATTTGCGGTGATTTCAGCGTGACCACCAACCAATGTCATCGGTAGGAACTCGATCCTGACTTCCGACTGGATGGACCCCACTAGTCACGAACGACTTCCCACTAGGACTCCAGGAAACTCCATCACTTGTAGCCAGTCACTAGCGAGCAGCATCACGTCAATTTTCAAAAATTAGTCTTTCTAGGCATTCTATCTGTTCCCACCGTTGAAGCTGGTTTTCAATGCTTCTCTAACTGATAACAATCCGTGGTCCAACTTCAAACAAACAAAATCCTTGCAAAAACCAATTCTTGAAAATAAATGAGTCTTCAGGTTGATTATGTAATGAGTAATTAAGCATGAAGTAGTCAGAATAACAAAATCATTAGGGAAAATGTATGGAATACAACGAATGCTTACCTGAAGACCACGATCTTGAACAGTAGCAAAACTCAGCAATTTAGTATCAGGTGTATAGAATGTTCTCTCCATTGCTTCATTTATAATAACACGATACGGTGAATTCGGTATATGGTCATCATTAAAACGAATAGAGCATAAATACTCGCCCGGTTCAGTTACACGATATGAGACACCACATGAACCATCTTTTCGATCCTTAAAATGATAATCAGAAATGAATAGGTTATGTTTTTCTCCAAAATGTTCAAAAATTAGACAAATACACATAAATATACAATTTCTACTCAGGAATTAGGAGTTTACTGTGTAGGCAAAACTGTTGCAAATCATTTCATATAGATAGGAACATAGGGCTTCAGCCACACGTCTCCATTGATTTCCCTTCTCTATTAACGTTTTCACCTGGCTCCACGTCTGCCCATATGCTTTCATCTCCTCCTCAAATGACGTCCTCCATGTCACCCTCGTTCTGACGACCAACTAACTCACCGCTTCCCATTTGGGTCCCACTCGAGTGACGGTCTGGCGTGTGATGTCACTCACTTGATGGTTTGTTTTCTCAGAGTATGACCAATCCACCTCCAATTCTCCCGGCATATTTCTTGCATAATCGGTTCCTGCTGGGTTGTTTCACTCACTGCCAGAGATCTCTGTTGCCGATCTTTTCTGGTCGGTCATCTGACCTTGGTTGAGTAATGTGCGAAGACAGCTGTTGATGAAAGTCTGTAATTTGTTCAAAGCGGCCTTCGTGGCACTCAATTCAAGTCTCTGATCCGCATAGAGCAGCCCTGACTTCACATGACCTCCTCATCCATGTCACTCTTGGCTAACCAACTCGCCGCTAGGATTAAATGAACTGATGTAGTGCAGTGAATCAATTCTAAATACTGACACCAGCTCGGCATCGTACTTGCGACTGGCTCTATACAGGAAGTTAACCGAAGTTCCAAGTCAGAAATGGTGGGTTCCACTGAATCAGGTGTGAAGAAAAATGCTCGCCAAAGACATTTCTGGTATGACCACATATCGCCGGTGTGATGTATTTAAAACTCATTCACCATCGAGCTGTCTTCCAATGGTTGGATGTTATACGAGCTCACCTTGTAATCTGAAGATCTTAGTTTCTATTCTTAGAGCACCAAGCTGGGATACAACTCCTGTCCAATATCTTCAGGCATTCCTTGATTCTTTAATTGACATCACCTCACGACAAAACTCGAAATTAATCAGATACCTGTAAACCAACTCTCGGAAACTCAACTCAGTTGATTGATATCGTTAACGTCATACTTTTTCAAATGCTTCCGCATCTCTATCATGTCATTACATACAATGTTACTATAATAACTTCCTTCAAGAAGCACTTCACTGAACAATATTCCCTACAAACCAATACTTGAATATTAATGAGGTGCTTACTGGTGACTGGCCCTATTCAGGTAGGTACTTACCTGTGGTTCTAGTAAGAAATCGTGACCAGTAGGGTGCAGCACGTCGGGTGTGAGGACAAATACTCGCCGAAGACATTGGCTAGCGGTTGCGCTATATCATGAATTGGCAGAAGTTGGGATACTGGATGGAATCCCAGTGGCTTAATGGTCTACGAGCTAGCTCGCTGGGCTTGTAACCAGAAGGTCCTGGGTTCGAACCGGAGGGTGGTGGGTGCGTACTGGTGAAGAATTTCAAACTAGGAGGAAACAGCTGTCCAGTATTCCCAGTTGGTTTCCAAGGGGTTCTCTAACTAATTTCAGCTTATGGTGAAATCCCGTAACCAATCAAGCAAATCCTGCAAACCAATACTTGAATATTCCTTTCTTTAGGAACAGCTGTCCCTCGCTGTCTGTGGTATGGTAGTAGAGAAATAATAATTGCCAACAAATTCGCATAAGCTCACCAAGCCTTCCTTAACTCTTTCTAACGAGAATTAAAGCGGTTTGAAGTGTATTAAATGTCTAAGCTGAGTCTCTCCGTGTACATCGGTAGTTACGTCGACTATAAAATAGAGAAATAGCCGATGGGTGACATACAGTACTAAATTAATTATGATTGGTTTTCAACTAATACTACTCATCAAAATCAAGTAGTATATACATAATTTGACAAAATAATACTATTGACTAACCTCAAAATCTATTTCCGCTTTACTTGGTCCTTCTATAGCAATTGACAAACCGCCTGCACCTGCTTCTCTAGTATAAATACTAAAATCATTTGGTGAATAAGTTAAACCATGTTGTAATCCTGGACCAGCAGCGTGTACTTTATGTGCTCCACCTTCTGTGATAGGACCAACAGTAAATTGGAATGGACTTCCTAAATACATACACGGTGGATAGATGAGAAGAATGAAAGATTTATTTATTTATTTGCATATTCAATCTAGGCAGATTTGTGATGCTCTAATTGATTTTTTCTAAAATTCTGTAAAAATTTACTCACCAGAAATGTGTGATCCACGATGACGTACTGAAACAGTGTGTACACCCATTTCTTGAGGTACAAATTTGATGGTATAGTTCACATCGTCTGTAGCTAATACATCACATCTTTGAGTGACTCCTGATGGACTGGTGACATTCGCTGTTAAATCACGAATATTTATTCCTGTATTGGATAAAAATAAAGAAGAAGAAAAGTAGCAGAAAAGGGAAAAAGGAATGACAGAACAAGGAAAATAGGACAGTAGTTATGTTTGAATAAGGCAAATTTCTCGAGATGATATCACCATTACGTAGTTTCTTTACAACCGCCTTACAACTAACATGACTAACAATAATAAAATAAAGTTCATGACAATTACTAAGCTACCTCAGTCGAGGTAGTATCATCGGTCATGTAGAGAATAAGATGTGTAGTTCGCCAGCATTCAAAGTTCTTTGAACTGATTTTCTTAATTTCTTTGTAATTATCTCACTTGATATATTACCCTTGAATTGTAATCGTAAATAAAGATGAAGCACCTAGACTAGCCACTTAAAATTGTATCTACCAATTCAACTGCGTTTGTGGAGGAGAGAGTTATATTGGCCGTTGCTCTAGGAACTTGATTTTTCGTACTCGATAGGGAACATCTTCCACTATGGCTAAGTAAAGGTGTAGTAAAACACCCCAACAGTTGAATGTTAAACCATCTGGTGCAAACCGGCCACAAAGCCAACCAGCCAGCGTGGAAGAATCCTTCTATATCATCTACTAGGTACCAAATAAATTGCCAAAATCATCGAAGCACCGCATGCTCCAAACAGCAGAGGCTATATTGCAATTCGCCTCAAACAACCAGTGCTCTGTGTTCAAACGAAGCAAGTCCAGCTAGCCGCTACTACTGACGTGGTAAGCCTTCAGTAGAGACTATAAATTCATGAATTTGTGATATTATCTTTCCTAATTTTTCTCACATTCAGTGTATGGTGGTTATGTTGATGCTATTGAGCTGTAACCTATTGATATTATTGATTCGATGTTATTTAAACACCATTAATGTTGTTCATAATAACACTAATTCATTCATTCACTACAATGTATATATATATATATATATATATATATATATATATATATATATATATATATATAACTGCAGAGCCTAATGAAGAAGGGGTTATCGAAAAGAGTACTCTTTGTTCAGTATCCATTCTTTTGAAATGTTAACTTTAGACGATGCCATCCTAGAGGTTGTAGTCTGTTGATGTCCCATATCTAAAAGAACCTTATAGTATTTTTTGTACAGAGGAAATAAAGACTAATATCATTTCCTTTTGTAAAATATTATCATCGGCCATAATCAGCGTCTAAACTCTTTTTGTTAGGCTACAGACTAATTTTCAATGCTAGTTGTCATTAACAGTGTTATCAGATCCGCTGATACATGCTTAAGACTAGGTGCGATTTATATATATATATATATATATATATATATATATATATATATATATATATATATATATATATATATATCTGCCTGTCTGTTTTCGACATAGAACTTTGCACAAATGTGCGGAAGTTCAAGTCGCCACATTCCGTGTAGCACGCGAAGCAAGAGAAGAAAGTACAAGAAAAGCATAATAGAAACAGTGAGCAGAGGTGTGAGACAAAGGAGTAATAAAGAAATACAAAACAATTTCATTGGAGATCATAAGTCACAGGGAGTGGATGCATCTGCGCCACTGAGAACGATTTTGAGCCATGTCACCAATTGTTTCCAACCATAGATTTTTACCGTCCCGAGGACCCCAGCCTGGAAGTCTACACCTTCCTACGTGGCTAAGACCAACTGTTGTGGATTTCATTGACTGATGCCAAGTTTTTGTTTGACCGCCGCTAGCTTTTTTCCAGCCTGACCCTATATCCGCTAACATAGCTCGTCGAGGGAGGCGATGACTTGGCATACGTAACACATGTCCTAACCATCTCAGTCGATGTAGCTTCACGACTTCGTCGATTGATTTCCCCTCCTTACCTAGAACTCTACGCCTAACCTCCATGTTGCTCACCTTATTATGCCACTTTACACGGGAAATAGAAGGCAGGCACCTATGATCAAAGACAGCTAGGCAGGCCTTTCATGTCTTCCACTCTCAGTGGCCAGGTCTCACTGACAGCCATAAAGGAGGACGGAGCGGACTGATGAGCAGTACACCCGCCCTTTGGTCGATAGTCGAACATCTCGTCTACGCCAGAGTCGGCGTAAACTAACAAATGCGAAACGAGCCCCTTGTATTCGTGCTGAAATTTCGTCAGAGATCAGCCCGTTGGGGCTGATGGTACTTCCCAAATAAGTGAAGCGGTCAACGTGCTCTACCACTTCACTTCCTATTTTTAAACTAGGCGTCGATGTAGTCCAGTCCTGTAACATCATCTTGCATTTGGCGGGAGCGAATCGCATGCCAAACATATATATATATATGTAAATAACATACACTGATGTCAGCTCATGATGCAATCCTCCATCCAATCAAACAAAATCTCTACAATTTTTTTATTTATTTTATTTTTTTCTTTTTTTTCTTTTTGATTTACAGCTTGATTCCACACCGTATTTTTGGTACAAGTATGGAATTTTCACCATGGACATCGGTAGCCCAAATTTTGCAGGCCGACCATAGATATCAGGTGTGCGCCGGCGTGGGCTCGAACCCCGGACCATGTGCATGGTAGGCGAGAGTCCTAACCACTGTGCCACCGACGCATAACCAATACTTGGAAATTAATCTGATGATCACTAGCGACTGGCCCTATTCAGGCAGTTAACCTGGGGTTCTAGTGGGAAGCCGTTGACCAGTAGGGTACAGCAGGTCAAAGATGAGGCAGTAACTCATCGATAAAGACATTACGAAGTGGTCGCGCTATGTTGTGAATTGGCAGAAGTTAGAATTCAAGAACCATTGGATCGGGCCGCAGTGGCTCAATTGGCCTACGAGCTAGCCTTGTAACTAGAAGGTCCTGGGTTTGAGCCCCCTATGATGGGTGCGTACTGATGAACAGTCGTAAACTAGGACGAACCAGCTGTCCAGTACTCGCAGGTTTTCCAATCGTCCTCTAACTGATGTCAGCTCATGATGAAATCATCCTTGCAATCTAACATACACAGATTAATAAAGAATCACTTCTTATTTTTTTATTAATTTTTTTTATTATTTTTGATTACACCTTCATTCCACACTGTATTTTTGGTACAAGTATGGAATTTTCAGCATGGGAAATCGGTAGCCCAAATTTTGCAGGTCGACTATTGATATCAGGTGTGCGTCGGCAGGGTATAGAATCTCGGACCATGTGCATAGTCGGCGAGAATCCTAACTGCTGTGCCACCGACTCACTTCTTCTAACATGGGTCTGAAACGTGGTGTGACAGCGTCACGAAAAGCATTTCCAACAGCAAGCTGTAGACTTTTATCAACAGCTGCTTTCACTGAATCCTTAACCCAAAAATACAGATGGCCGATAATTTATTAGCAATGAAAAAAACCTCTGGGAACGAACTAACTAATCAAGAACCCATTGGTCAACAAATATGCCGGAGGGAATGCGGATAGATTGGACAAATACTGAGGAGACCTGCGACAGGCTAGCGCATTTAAGTGAAACACCCCCCCCCCATTACGGGGAGAAACGAGTTCGGAGTCTGACGACAACATAGAGGAGATCGTGTAAGCACGAGAAAGAAGTCTATGGGCACTCATGGAGCCAGACTACAGGACAGAATGGGGACTTGGTGTTGAAGTCCTATACTCCTCTTGAAACCTATGGGAGTAATAATAATAATAATAAATATAAAATCCGTTGAAAACAGACCGCAAAGCCAGTTGATTTTCTAATCATAAAAAGTCCCAATAAATCATATTTATAGAATAATTTATGGTGAGAGTATCTAAGAGTGGTGATTGGATGATGACTAAAGATGGGGAAGTGATCATCTAGATCGTGGTGGAGAATCGAACCACCATCCAACACTCTGAATAAATCATACTCAACTGTGCGTTTCTTCATCACCCAAGCTGCTTAACTAAGTCTTCTCCTGATAAACCTAATCACATCGAATTCGAAGCAGAAGAGCACGCAATTAAATCATGGTGAGAATATTTCCCTGTATGTAAAATCACCTCCGAAAATCATTGAGAATGCAATATTTTCAGAGGTGAACAACATTCTTACTGAATTCATGTATAACTTGTAGACAACTAAATAAGTTTTCAAGAGTTTGGTTTGTAAGGATTAGATTTGTTGTTTTTTCACGAGTTTGACCATGGATTGATATCAGTTAGAGAAACAGTCAAAACAAGCAGGGAGTACTGGACAGCTGTTTCTTCCTAGTTCGGGAATCTAGTGAGAAGTTGTGACCAATGAGGTCCAATAAGTCGGAAGTGAGGATGGAGTTCCTGCCGATGATATTGGTTGGTGGTCACGCTAAACTCACCACAAATTGGTAGAAGTTAGAATTCATGGACTGGCCACTGAGTCGCGTGCCAGTGGCTGAATGTTATACGATCCAGTTTGTCTTGTAACTGGAAGGTCCTGGGGTTCGAACGGTGGTGGTGGATGCGTACTGTCGATGACTCCCGAACTAAATTGAAACAGATATCCAGTACTGTCTGGTTTTCAATGATTCTCTAACTGATATCAATCCATAGTCAAACTCATTAAAACAAACAAGTAACAGAAAAGAGTTTCAGCTCAGGTAGATGGATTCGGTATGAATGGGTTCTCTGAGTTGCTTGGTTTAATTTTAAAGCTTTAATTATTATTATTATTATTGTATCCTTTAGTTCCTAGAGGAACATAGGGCTTCAGCTGCGCACCTCCATTGACTTCGGTTTTCTGACAACTTTTTCACCCTGCTCCAGGTCTGTCCACATGCTTTCATCTCCTCCTCGCATGACCTCCTCCAAGTCACCCTTGGACGACCAACTCGCCGCCTCCCTTTCGGGTTCCACTCGAGGGCTTGTCTATTGATGTCACTTGATAGTTTCCTCAGCGTATGGCTGAACCCATTTGAATACTTCATCGATGATATAGTTATCTCTCTTGGCAATCTTCATCGTGATTAATTGTCGATTTGTATGTGTATAAGTTATTTAATCGACATGGAATTTGACTTTTCTGTCATGTGACTTATTCTCTGTCAGCTAATGAATTCTATCTATAATAATGTGTCCGTTGATCGCAAATTCGTTGACTTATCAGGAATCTAGGAATTCCCTGATATTTTCGGTTTTTCCATTATTTCAAATTTCTGTCTGTCTGTCTGAGACATTTACCCAGTTGATATATGTCTTGTCTTTGGACAACTAGTTCTTGGACACAGAGAAGTATGTTTCACCCAGTCTGATCAATACAGTGCCTTTCGCATTTCATGTAATTTATTTTGTAGGTAGTATTAGTCTGTTATTTTCATGATAACTAGGGTGATCTGTCTAGTCCTTTCCCTGGTGCAAACTGATATCTATCAGTCAGGTTTGCAATGTAGCTACCATTCTAGATAGTTCGCCATCACAATGCGCATTGATTTCATGATATTAGATGGTTGAGGGCAATCGGCCACAGAAAGCCTTGTCTGACCCAGGTTTCGTGCTAGTTCACCCTCATAAGTCAGCAATACGTATCTGCAACCTTTAAGGAACTCATTTCCCCTCTGAGATTCGAAACCGCGTCACCCAGTGAGTTTTGAAGTCAGAGACGTTACCACTGAGATAGCTATTTAGACTTGCGATTGACCTCCTGTAGACATGTGATCGATATTCTTGACTGGACACTGGTCAGTGACTAAAGTAATGTGTCTAGTCCTTTGTTTGGTGCAGACGGAATTCTACCAGCCACGTTGGTACTGTACAGTTTTGAGGTGAATTTATGAAAAATAGATCTGTTTGTTCCTAAAATGAATTAAGAAACATGAGTTATGAGTAAAAATCCTCCTAACAGTTATCTTCAGTTACCCAATATCATCTACAGTGAATACGAAGACTACAAGAAATGTTGAAAGGTTACTTATAACGTCATTTTTTTTTGGTGAAGATCAGCCTCATTGGCTTAACAACTTGGCTTTTATTCAGTAGGCTCTGGGTTCGAATCCCAACCTAATTACTTCACTTTGAACAGCTTTCCACTGACACAATAATCCACGCTTAACAAGGCTGGAAATAATTTAACCTACCTGGAATTTTTAAATTCAATTCACACTGACTACCAACATAGGTGGCATCAGCAAGTTCCCGTTGTCGAGTAATTCTTTCCATCATTCTAAGCGAAGGTTCTCCACCGATATGCACAACAAAAGGACTTCCTGGTACTGGTTGATCAGCATATTTAACATTGATAATATATGTTCCAGGTTCTGTTGGCCGATAAGTGACAAGACATGTGCCATCTTGATTATCATGACATTCGATATCTGCTTTACTAGGACCTTCAATTGATAGATTTAAACCGCCATAACCTTGAAGTAGGAAAAAAAGTATTACACAGAGTTACAATGGAATTTTAGCTCCTAGAATGAAATGTACACATTTTTGACATTGACAGAATAATAATCCAGCTGTCCTTACTAAAACATAGGACTAGCAAACTTGACATTCACTATACTCCAACAGAGTTGTCTTTCAAGATCATCTACAAGGTGAGGGAGGCTAAATGGTACAAAGGCCATCAGGTTTCGGCTTTTGTGTATGGTGGAGGCGCTGGGAATTCGTCAATACAACCCCGAACTCTGTATGCAGGAAAAGTCTGTCTAGCTCTTATTCTACCTTTGTCTTAACCTCGTCACCAGTCCTTCCCTGTAATAAAAAATTTTGATGTTTTTTTTTCTTCTTTAATTTTACTTTTAGTTTGCTTTCGCTTTAATAATTAATTCCCTATTATCACTCTCATATGTTCCTATTGTACATGTTCACACCCTCTTCACACTTGTTAAATGACACTCAATTACCTTTATGTTCACTAACAATTTTAACCTTATCAAACTTCTATCTTTGTTCCGTTGGATACCACATAATTTACAACTTTTATTTTTTACTTCTAAAGTCACTTATGAGTAATTATATCGATTATGTGACCCCTTATTATTCAATAATAGACCACTATATATTTTGGTAAGTATAAATACGACTGTACAGCCAGACTCTGAAGATGATTTTGTCGATAAAGAAAACTTTTCTTCGCTGAATTCATCTTTTATATTCAGTTTATTCCTTACAGTAGTCCTACAGGAGGTCAGCACTGGGTGACACAACTTCTAATTTTCCAAGAGATATCAGCTTCCTTCGAGACATCAGCTATTCGTTGTTGTTGAAGACTGCCAACAAACACAAAGTGTAAGTTAAGGAGGGTTGCCTCTGGATTGCCTCCAACCATCCCGATAGCGACTGACTTAGCTTGATAACAACCACGTTGCAAGCCTAAATGATAGAATACAGTGACACTAGGGTCCGAATAAATCTGCTGAAGAAGCTGTGGCTTACACAGCAGAACGTTCAGAAAACAGATCTTGTTTAAAGAAGACAATTGCAGCGAAGACAATTTTTCTTTTCGACGAAGTCATCATCTAAGCTGTACATTCGAATGGATGAGAAAGTTCCAGAATAATTTCCGGTTTTGATTTTCTTAGACACGCTAGGATTAAATTAAACAATTTATAATGATTCAATCTGACTTGGCGCCCAATTTATTCCGGGAAGTTCGTAACACCTACCGGTCTGGAAACTTATTATCTTAAGGAGTCCTTAAAATAAAACAACAATATCCTTGAACAATTTTGTTTTGCACACAAAAGCAAGCTTAAACAACTTACCAGCATTTCTTGTATCTACAGTGAATTGACAATTTTGATTCGCCATACCTTCACGTAGACCAGTACCATAGATTCGAACTTTTGATGCGTTGCCAATTTCACTTTCACCAACATAAATTTTAAATGGACTATTAGCAATATGTCTGCCATTACGAAATACATTGACAAAATGTTCACCAATTTCATGTGGAGTAAATGAAATGCCTATTTAAAAAAAAGTAAAAAGACAAGTAATCATAAGAGGAGAATGTGTTTTGGATAATTAAAATATACAGAAAAAATTGAAACAGTTGGTTTCATTCGATATTATAATGCTCACTTAAGCCTTTGAAGGGAAGAGAGGAGTAAGACAGGGCTGTATACTATCACTTACTGATGACCACTTTCGCCATTGGTTTTGATGAACTGGATCAAGTGGAGACAATGGGAATTGAGAAAACATGCATACCTTGGACTGAAAAAAATAAACCTAGGATGTCTGAACTTCACAAATAATTATTGTATGTGCTTCTTACAAACTTGAAGGTTTGCAGGTGGAAACTATCGCTCCTTCAGAGACACGCTCTGTAGACTAAAAGAACCCGGTGGATCCAGTGAAACAAAATAATATACTTTACAAAATACCTTTCCGTGACTGTGAGCTAAGTCAACTACATAGGTTAGACTAGTAGATCGGGAGTAGTCATGTCATCAGAACACAAGAATTTATCTAAGGTTAGAATGATTGATACCATTATTATTATTATTGTATCCTTTAGTTCCTAGAGGAACATAGGGCTTCAGCTGCGCACCTCCATTGCCTTCGGTTTTCTGACAACTTTTTCACCCTGCTCCAGGTCTGTCCACATACTTTCATCTCCTCCTCGCATGACCTCCTCCAAGTCACCCTCACACTGACGACCAACTCGCCGCCTCCCTTTCGGGTTCCACTCGAGCGATGGCTTGTCTAGTGATGTCACTTGATGGTTTCCTCAGAGTATGGCCAATCCATCTCCATTTCTTCCTGCCTATTTGTTTCACAATAGGTTCTTCCTGGGTTGGTTCGCTCATTGCCAGACATTCCTGTTGCTGATCTTTTCTGGCCATCTGATCTTGAGTATTGAGCAAAGACAGCTGTTAATGAAGGTCTGAAGTTTGTTTGAGATGCTCTTTACGACTCGCCAAGTCTCTGATCCGTATAGTAGCACTGACTTCACATTGGAGTTGAAAATCCGGATCTTATTTTTGATGTTGATTGCTGTTGACCTCCACACAGATTTGAGAGTGATGAAAGCTTGTCTTGCTTTTCCGATTCTGGCTTTGATGTCCTCGTCAGTTCCGCCTGTAGTTGAGACGATGCTTCCCAGGTAGGTGAAGGAGGTTGTTTCTTTCAGGTTCTTCCCACTTATGCTGATTGTTGTCTGTTGTTGTTGCTATGGATGTTGGCTAGGAATCTTCATCACCTCTGTTTTATCTATGTTCACGTGAAGTCCTATCTTTGATGCTTCTTCTGCCAACTTGTTACTTTTCACTTGCATATCTTCCAGTTTATGGGAAATCAGACATATATCATCGGCGAAATCCAGATCCTCTAAGTCTTTTGTGTCAGTCCATTTTATGCCTGTTCTCTCGTTGGTTGCCGTTGTCTGTCGCATTATCCAATCAATTGCAATCAGGAAGATCATTGGTGATAGTAGACAGCCTTGCCTCACTCCCGTCCTCACTTCGAAGGCTTCCGTAAGTTTCCCGTTGTGGATTACTTGGCAGGCAGCATTGTCGTATAACTGTTGGATGAGATGTATAATTGTCGATGGAACCCCGTAGTAGCGAAGTAGTTGCCAAATGACCTCACAATCGACGCTGTCTGTCGAAGGCCTTTTCAAAGTCGATGAAGTTGAGATAGAGAGGTGACTGCCATTCCAAGCTTTGTTCAATGATGATCCGTAGAGTGGCGATTTGATGAATACATGATTAGTTTCTCCTGAATCCGGCCTGTTCCGGACGAAGTTTTTCATCTAGGGCTTGTTTGATTCTCTCCAGGATGATGCGACTTAGTATCTTGCTTGGAATGGACAGAAGCATAATTCCACGCCAGTTTTTACATTGACTTAAGTCTCCTTTCTTTGGAAGTTTGAATAAGTATCCGTTCTTCCAATCCTCGGGTACTTTGCCCTCTTTCCACATGAAGATAAGTAATTTAGGAAAGAACTAAGCAATCTCACTGTATGCACTAACACACAACCACACGATAAGGTGGGTGGAAGAGAGTCGGAATTCTAAAGAGTAATATACACAGGTGGAGAGAAAGGGATTGACCACTGAATCCTGCCAAGTTTATCGAGTCTACACCAGTCATAGCAGAGGATAATCAAATAATGTTAAAATGTATCCGATTCACATTATAAAATTCTAACAAGTTACTTATTTTTACCGTAAAAAGCATCTTATTTCCCATCTTAATGTATTTTATTGATAACACTAATATTATTTCCTAATGTACCGACTCGCAGATTCCTGTTCGGGTTACCACTCGAGCGATGGTCTTGTGTGTGATGTCACTTACTCAATTGATGGTTTGTCTTCTCAGAGTATCACCAATCCACCTCAATTTCTTCTCGCATATTTGTTGCACAATCAGTTCCTGCTGGGTTGGTTCGCTCATTGCCAGAGATCTCTGTTGCTGATCTTTTCCTACCGGCTATCTGATCTGTTGATGAAGGTCTGTGGTTTGTTCGAAATGCTCTTCCTGACGCGCAGTGCAAGTCTCTGATATATACAGTGGCACTGACTTCACATTGGAGTTGAAAATCCGGATCTTGTTTGTTACGTTAAGTGCTGTTGATCTGAATACCGACTTGAGAGTAATGAAAGCTTGTCTCCTTTTCCCCATTATCACTCTGATATCCTCATCAGTTCTGTCCGACTGTAGTTGCTTGCCACATAGGAAGGGGGGTTTCTTCCTTCAGATTTCCCCCCTTTTTGCCGGCTGATTGTTGTATGTTGTTGTTGTTGCTGTTGGCCAGGAATCTTCATCACCTGCCTTTGTTTTCTCTATGTTCACCTGAAGTCCTATTTTCTGTGGATGCTTCTTATACCGCCAACTTGTTGCTTTTCATTTGCATATCTTCCAATTTGTAGGAAATCAGACGAATATATGTAATCGGTGAAGTTCAGATCCCCCAAGTTTTTTGTGTTGGTAATATTAATAATTAGCTAGCTTGATGTTCTGTGTTACTTCAACCCTTCGCCAGAAAACATCAGTCAGTTCATGTGATCTTCACGGAAAATCTTGTATTTGTTGCCATTATTATTATTTCCATGGGCCTAGGATGAAACATAGGACTCGAACACTAGTTTTTCATTTTATCCTGTTCTCTGCTGTCCTTTCAGGCTGACTCCAGGTTTACTCATGAGCCTTCATTCCCGCCTCACATGATCTCTGCAGTATCAATCATTCTTGACCTTACGCCCAACTCGTCATTACCCATTCATATTCTACTCGAAGGTCTAGCGTATAATTTCACTTATGTCCAATCTATCCCCATTCGCCTTCGCGAAATTATTGGGTAATTACTCCTTAGAATGGTTCATTACCAGAGTTCTTTTGTGCATTACTTAAAAAGTTTATTAAATATTCCCATAGTAAAACAACACATTTAAGCGAACAATATTGTGGTTTCAATTAGATCTCATCAGGCTTAACTCTAATATACATAAGAGTTTACAAACAAATATTCAAATATAAACCAATCATGGTGTTTTGTCAATAGGATAATAAGATGGCGAATATAAATTGTGCAATTAGTCATAATAGTAGTAATGATAATAATAATAATAACGGTTTTTATCGATAATAAGGATGAAAAAGTGAGGCAATCTGTGACAACACGAAAAATGAAAAAACAGCATGATTAAACAACGCAAATGTTCAGGTAGACATAGTAGTCGATAAAGGCTAGTACAAACAAATGAACCGATTAAGTAATGCTAGACTGATTGTTAGGGAAGTAAATGAGACAGATTTTTTAATGAAGATATGATAAGATTAAGGGTGATGATAAGAAAGAGGTTGAAAATATAAATAAGGGGTGGTGTTGGAATCATTAATTGGTTATGTCTTAATAGGCCAACAGGGGAGGGATAATGGCTGTACGAACTCCTTTTGAATGCATAGTTTAGGTTTAATAGTTCGAATGCCTATCGCCTGCCTCAGCTGTGTGCTAGCAGTAGACGAATACGAAGTCTATTGCAAGAAAGATTCGGTGGGATACGATGAATTACTTTGAAAGCTCTCGTTTTCTCCACTACATGACCACTATCAATTAAATGTGACAGGATTGAACTACGAATTGTTTTTGTCTGTCCTTTGTCAAACCACGATGGGAAATGTTCAGTAACAAGCTGGCTGGCTAAGCTGTCTAGTAGTACGCCCAACATAAATGTCACCGCAGGTGCAGTTGAATTGATAAATGCACATAGATGTGGCAAAACTATCAAGCTTATCCTTCGTTTGCGTCCCAATCATTCGTTGGCTAGAGAATGACAAACATAGGTGTACTGTCTAAAATATCCTTTGTATACTCATTGAAAGTCTTTGGAATAAAATCTCACTTGATAAGTCACCATTATATTGTAACTTAATAAATAGAGGTTTATTTCGTGCAGTTAGAGTCTTAAGTTTTTTCTCTGATGTTTCCGTATGTTTCTTTATGAAACTAATCGGATAGCCCATCTCCATCAAGGAATCGTGAATATATTCAAATTCCTTTTGTAAGACGTCATCCGTACATATCTTTCTTACTCCGCTTGCAAGACATTCAACAATATTAAGACATAATCAACTAGTGACTTCTACACCACCCCTTGTTTATAATTTCAACCTCTTTCTTATCGTCACCCTTAATCTTATCATATCTTCATTAAAAAATCTGTCTCATTTACTTCCCTAACAATCAGTCTAGCATTACTTAATCGGTTCATTTGTTTTTACTAGCCTTTATCAACTACTTCTAGCTGAATATTTTTGTTTGTTTATTCGTGCTGTTTTCTGTTTCTTTTTCTTGTTATTACAGATCGCCTCACTTTTTCATTTTTTTTATTGATGTAACCATTATCATTATTAATATTATTATGACTAATTGCACAGTTTATATTCACCATCGTATTATCCTATAGGCAAAACACCACGAGTTTTTTTGTAAAGTTATGTACATTAGAGTTAAGCC